AGTAGTTGTGAACTGGCTGGCTGGTAGACACACTCATGCAGCCTGAGCACCTTTACCAGCCAGGCAGTTCGAAACTACAAACTGATACATCTAGTAATAATACAACTTACCTACTGAGAAAATACCAGACATGTTATAGTCTGGTAATTTCTCAATTTTTCCTGGACAAACCCTTAAATACCAGACTGTCTGGTACAAAACCAGACACCTGGCAACCCTATGCCTCCTTGTACCCTCCCTCCTAGCCAGATACCCTACGCCCAATCTGCTCCTGGAGTGCCCATGTGGCACCAGGGTGAACCCAAACCCTGGCCAGGCAGAGGATGTAGCCAGGTGAAACACTGAAAGTTTATTCTTTTTATTTTTATGTGCTTATATTTTTTGGCTACAAAACAGTATGGGGGGAGGGGGAGAAAGGGTTCCAACTAAAGTAAAAAGTTTGGGAAACCCTGGTCTAGCCAGCTTTCTATCCATTTTACCATCTATTTATCCAATCTATTCCCTTAACTTACTGGCAAGAATATTATGGGTGACTATCAAAAGCTTTGCTAAAGTGGCAGTGGGGGCTTTGGGAGGACCAGAAACAACTTATTTGAATAGTCATTTACTTAGTGAATATGCAAATGAATGTTACCAGTCGTCCAAAAAGCTCATGAATGGATTTACTTACTGGTCTCTGTGTCAAAGTTTGGGAAGCCCTGGCCCACAGGATCAGTTTGTCTGACCCAGAGTAAAATCTAGTGGGGGCATTGTTGGCTTGCAGTGGAAGTGCTGAAGCAACTGGAAAATGTTACTGATACTTGTCTGCTGTACATTTCCATCTGGGTTTTTCCAACCAGCAGTTTGGTGTGTATACAAGCCCCAACCTGTAACTGCTCCGCAGCTAATCTTTACCATTAATTTCCCTGTTGCACTGCTAAAATACAACTATGTGTTCTGGAAACTTCTTACAGTGACTTGTGTTATTCACTCACTAGAAATTCCTCAGCTAAGATGTCCTTATAAAAATAAAATTTACATTTTTACACAAACTCCTCCCTCAGACCAAAACCAGTTTCAGGTATACTAGCAGCAGTTCTTATAAAACTGGAAATATAGTGGTTACATCAATTGTCCTGCAGCTGAAAAAGAAAAATCTTGGATAACACTTCATTCTTCTGTGTGCCACAGATGGGTTATCCCCATCTTATGCTTAGGGCTTGCTAAGTAGCTTCTAACTCTCCTCTGATCAAATACTTTGTTCATAACCCTGTTTCAAGCTCCAGGAACTTGTCTCCTCTGTGCTATTTTCACTGCTGAGGTTATGTAATGCTTGTTTGTTTTGTCTTTTATGCTGCCTGTTTGCTACTGTATGGTAAAATTGACAAGTCAGCTCTCAGTCTGAGTGAGCAAGTGAAATAAATTGCAAGCCAAGATGATTAGCTGAAGACTTAAAAGTAGTCTGCTGCCTTAACTTAGTACACAATGAATGGCCAGTTGAGGGATGCTTCCAAGTAACAGGTATGTACATAGCTGTCAATATCTGTGCTGAAATGACTATTGACACTAACTGTAGTTTAGCAAGTACTCTTATGTACTGCAGTTCTCTTATCACTAGGCCTTAAAGAACTGCTGCAGTAGCTTGCCTTTAAGCTATTAGCAGCACAAACCCTAAGTCTGCCCCTGATTTGGCATGCAGAGGTGATGTTCAGAGAAGTTTGATCAGCACTCTTGCCTGATCCAGAGTGAAGATTTTTTTTAATTTCCTTGAACCTAAAACTTCCCTATTTACCATGGAATTTCATTGAAGGGAACTAGGGTAGAAGATACAGAGAACAGTAGAACTGAGCTGAGGAACACTGCTGTATTTTTGTAGTGCTCTGCCCCTTTTTGGGAGTTAAACCACTAGAAATGCAAAACCCAGGAAGGGTCTTCCCCCCCCATTGTTTATGTAGGAACGAGTAATACAGAATACTAAGTGACTCAATTTTCCAACAAAAAAGCCCTGTCCCCCCCCCCCCCCCCCCCCGGCTGCAGCCACAGATGTCTTGACAAACTAGAATCCTGGTTAGTGTCCCTGCTACTTGGGATGAGATTGTTGAGAAGTACGACACCTGGAAGGGGTATTTTTACATTTAAAAAATAGCACTTTCAAAAGTTTTTGAAGGCAGGTTCACTTTCCTCTTGCCTGTAGCACACAGTGCTACAAAGTATGCTTCAAAGTAGTGGGTATATACATAACTGTCAATACATCTAACTATGGCAGCAAAACCACTAGCACTCGTACAGCTTGCCAGGCATGGAGTGTCTTGCCCTTGTGATTCCATGCCACCCCTGCTAAAGCTCAGCCCATTAATCTGAAATTAAGTAGTTCTATCCTGCAGTCAGTGCAAATGTGCCATGTGAGCTACAGAATGATAGCACTTAAGGTAAGAGCTGTGAGGTGACTTAGCTCTTTTCTTTAACTTCCTGCTTTGCTACAGTCTGTCCTTGTTCCTGTTTTGAGGCAAGTGGAACCTTAGTGCATCTCCTGCCTGTCTCCCCAACTCTAAGGGCAGTGGTCACTAACCAGTAGGTCAGGATCTACTGAAGATCTTGGAGCCTCTGACAGGTGATCCTGACCGGTTTGGCCAAGAGGCCATCAGCTGCCCCTCCCCCTGCTACTGCTCCTCCTACCCTTTGCCTTGGATCTGACCCTCCCCCTAGGAGCCTCCTGCTTTCAGTGCAGACAGAAGGGGGAGAGGAAGGGTGCTGATGTCAAGGTGTCCCCTCCCACACTATCCTTTCTCAACAGAGCAGAGAAGGGACACAACAGGACCTAGGCATGGAGTTGACTGGCTGCTTTCGGGAGTGGGCCAGTGCAGGGGTGAGCCTGCCTTAGCCCCACTGCACCACCAACCAGGAGCCACCAGTAGTGCCTGGCTGGAGCCCACATCCCAAACTCCCACCCCAGTCATGAACCCCTCCTGCACAGCCCCAAGCACCTCTGCATCCAAATGCCATCCCAGAGCCTGCACCTAGAACCCCCTCCTACATCCTAATTGCCTTCCCTAAGAGCAGCTAAGATCCTTTCACTCCAGATCCCTTAATCCAAGACCAGAGCCTGCACCCTCACCCTCTGCCCCAGCCTGGTGAAAATGAGTGAGGATGGGCAAGAGGGAGGATGGAGTGAGCAGAGGCAGGGCCTTGGAGAAAGGGCAATAAGGAGGCAGGGCAAGGGTATTTATATTTGAGGTCGATCTTGGATTGCACTTAAACTCAAACAGTGATCTCCAGCCTTTGAGCACAAGACTGCTGTCTTAGGCTATTTTTCCCAAAAAAACCCCTGAGTCTGGACACAGCCTTTTTCCGAAAAAACTTCACCTGCGTCTAGACTGCAGCCGCGTTCTTTCGAAATTAAATCGAAAGAACGCAGCTTTTCTTTCAACAGCGGTAAACCTCAAGAAGGCGTTCTTGAATGTAAATAGGGGCTTCTTCGAAAGAGAGCATCCAGACTCACTGGGTGCTTTCTTTCAAAAAAGCGGCAGTCTAGACGCTCTCTTTCGAAAGAGGCTCTTTCGAAAGTATCTTTCGAAAGAGCCTCTTTCAAAGGAGGCTTGCAGTCTAGACATAGCCTTAGTGTATGTCTAGACTACAAGCCTCTTTTGAAAGATCTAGATAGCCATAAGAGATTTGAAAAAAAGATTGTTTGGGTGCTCTTTCGAAAAAGCCCTGCTTGCATTCAAGAACGCCTTTTTTTGAAAGCTTTTGAAAAAAGGCATTCTTCCTGGTAAGTAGGTTTACTATTTTGAAAAAAGACTTGCCCTGTTTTCCATATAATTCCGAAAGAATGCGATGGCCATCTAGATGAAAGAGCAGTTTTTGAAAAAAAGGCCTTTTTAAAAAAAAAAAAAAAACTCTGTAGTCTGGACACACCCTTAAAGCCCAATCTTTTACAAATTGCACTGTCCTAGTATCAGCTCATCTGTAGCCCACTCCTACCAAAACAAGCCCCACAGGGATGCCTCATCCTGCAGGGCTCACATCTCACGAGGACATTAGGAATTCCGAAGTGCAATGTGGGCACAGCAGAAGGGTGGGTATAACTCTGATTTATCAGCTTTCCATTTCTCCCTCAAACCTTTAGCTTTCTTCTACCAGAGTCTATTCTAACCTCCTGCTGCTGTGTGGGGTACTGATTATTTTGCAACCCTGGAGGTCTGGGAGATGGAATTAAATCCCATGCCAGCTGCTGTAGAAGTAAATCCCATCTTGCCTCTGAAGCTATATCTACCCTGCCATTACACACACCCACAAACTGGCTTAGGGTAAGGAGCTACTTAACTACAGAGCAAACATTAGCCCAACCTCCGAGTTCTCCCCCCGTCCCTTCCCAGCATCCTACAACCTAGGTCCAACTGTCTCCACTGCAATTAGAACATCCCTTTTCCCCTAGACCCCACTCTCAGATTGCAGTTAAATCTGCACCTGGCCCCTGCCATCTAGACATGCCCTTAGAGCCCAATCACAACTAGTGCTAAACTGAAGGATGAGCTGGAATGTCTGAAACTAGACAGATGGAAAAGTTCATTATCTTTCTCCTTCTCCTGCACTCCACTCCCCAGTTTTCAGGTACTTTCCAGTTTCTTCCTAGACTGGTTTCACATTACAGAACACAAGGCAACCAGTAGATACAAATTTTATTTTAAGGAATTTAAAAATTAAGAGCTCCAGTACAGCAGAAGAGCAGTTTGAGAGACCAGAAGCCCCATGGAACTGAAACTCCCCCACTGGGGATCACAATCCCATCTATAGATGCTTTTAGGAAAACTGGGCACTTCTGGTATTTCATAGAATCATACAGTTACAATATGTAGTACTTCCCCCCATGTGATAACTTTCCCCCATGTGATTCCTAGCCTAGGCATGACAGGATAGAAGACTGGGGGGGGAAGGGAGGGAAGAAAAAAGTACTGACTGCTTGAAATAGAGATAGTTAATGCAGAATTATTGCCAACTGTAGCATACTAAATGACTTAGGGGGGAAATAGGATTTAAAACCAAGCCACTGCACTTATCCTTAATCCTAAACTTCAAAAGGTATCAATAAAATCATCTGCTCAGTGCAGAGAAGTATGTTCTGTAACTCACTACAGAGGAATCTGACTGAAGTAGTCAGACAAGTACTGAAGCCCACCATAATCTACCAGGGCAGGCTCTTCCTCTTGAGTAGTTTGATTGTTTTATGTTTAACAGGTTTACTGCTCAGATAGAACCTATTCATTTATTTACTTTGTTTCATCACTAGATTACTTCTGCTGCACATTGCCAAGTCAAGGGCTAGCACAGTAGAAGAAAATCCCTCTAACACAAACAAGCAGATAACAAAAAGAATAGGTTTCGCCTCCAAGAACTGATTTAGGATTTTGCCAGTTTAGATTACCCAAATAAGCAACAATATAAAATTTACTCTACCATTTCTATAGAGCAGCTATACTATAAGCTGCTTCTACAAACTTTAGTAGTTTGGTTCCCTTTAAAAGTCACTGCCTAAAAAAAATAAAAAGTTAAGAGTCTTCATTGATGGTGGCAACATAGCAAATACTTGAGCTGGGATAAATAAGTATTATATAGTGCATAGTAAAAGTCTCAAGTGCTAAATGTGCTTCATCCAGGATACATTATTCTTCCTCATGATGGCCAGACTCTGGTCTCTGGGATTTTGCCTGTGAAAGGAGAAAAGTATAAGTGAAGTGTGTGTCTTTTTAGACACACATTTTCTGCTTCAGACTGTCAAGGGAAGGACAGAGCACCACATACAGTTCAGACTCCTGCTGACACTGAACCAATGATAGAGGTTCCCAATCTGTGCACTGGGACCCCATTTAGGGATGTTAGCAACTAGCTGACTACCCAGGAAGCATGATCAGCCTGGGCCAGCCAAAGAGAGAGTCCTATATCTGCAGCCCAACTAGGGCTGCTGTGCTGAGACAGTTTGGCTCTTGTTGCCTGCCGTCCAGATGGGAGCAAGTTAAGACACCCCAAACAAACTCCCTTCTGTCCACACCTCACTGCACAGACACCAGTACTGCCCCCCATTTCTCCCAACTACCCCATGCAGTTTGCTCCCTCTCTCCCAGATCAGGAAGCTATCAGAACATGCTGGGTTTCCTCACACTGCAAGCAGGGGCTGCTGGACTCAGTGTGAGCTGGGACTGAGGGGTCCTATCAGGTAGTTGACTGGAGTATTGACTATTTGCTTTGCCTACCCCTCAGAGACCGGGAGGGAGGGGGAAAGGGGGGAGACTGTGCTGGGAGCCAACACCATCTCTGTGGGGGACAGGGCTGGCTGTGTGAAGTAGCCCCTGTCTGAGGGGGTCCCAGTGGGGAGCTGGGCCCCCTCAGACAAGGGCTGCTGTCACCAAGCAGCCCCTGTTCACAGCAGTCAGGGCTGTCTGCTTCAAACAGGCTGCTGGACTCAGTGTGAGCTGGGACTGAGGGGTCCTGGCTTGCACTGGTCTGGGATGCTGCACCTCTGCATTTTAAATGTAGTAAGAGCTTGGCTGTTCTCACTACAGTTAAAATGCGGAGCTGTAGTGCGGGTGGCTCTTGGAGCTGGCAAGAGCCGGCTCGAGCTGGCTCCTGTTCAGTCCCAAGTTGAGCCAGCTCCTGGAGCAGTTCTATTGACTGGTTGAGTGAAAACAAGTGGTATCAACTATATAATTAGCCAGAACTGCAATTGAACATCCTTAACCCCATTTCAGTGGGCACTCCTGGACTGGTGTTGCCCTCAGACTTCAGCTAGTGTTTCAGCTCTGGACAGTGGGTCTCAGGTTACCGATCCCCACTTGGGACTGAAGCCCAGGGGCAGGGGGCTTGAATTTCCTGTATCAAGGTGTCATGAGAAGGGGGTCACAGTGAAATGGTGTTCAAGAACAGCTACAAGAGTATTGGCAAGAGGACAAGAGGCAACCAATGGGAGTACTCCACTGGGGACAGGAACAAGTGTGCAGTTAGGGAATCACTAGCAGCTCCCCATGTTGCATATTAGGGTTCCACAAGGCATCGTGGTTGTGCTAAAAAACCCACAACCTTTAGTCAGCCACTAAGAGGTGGACCACAGGGAAGAGTTCTGAAGCTTACCTTTGTTCTCCGGTTTCTGAAATTGACAGGTACATTTCCCATCCTAGGATTTCGGCTTGCTTCGTTTCTCACACTGCAGAGGAGTGACAAACACCATTAGACAAAGCAGCTCTACAAATTTGGTGCTCGGACATGATCTGGTTTTAGAAAAGAACAGTCCCTCTGATAAATGAACTGGTCAAAAAACCCACCTTCTTCTTTGCCTGCCTCCCAAGCTTAGTCTTGGGATCCAGACCAATGTATTTCAAAGTACCCAAAGGTGAAATAGTGATTTAAATGTGCAATGTCCACAGAATTTTTGGCCATGCATAGTGGAAGCTGAACTAAACAGCAAGGGCAGTTGTTGTTAAAGACAGGAACTATTTAACTATGCATCCCTATGGCTAGAATGCTACTGGAATCAGAAAAGAGTTTCCACAAAAGATTATTAGACTACTTTCCCTGAAAAGGAGTGTTTGTTGAAAAGAGGTACACAAATAGGAGCCATAAACAGTTCCCTTTAAAACCTTTTTTCCTATTAAATTCATTTACAAATAGAAATGGACATCAGCTAGTCAAACTGAGTGCAGCCTATCCCAGCCATAGGCAAAGTGCAGAAGGATCTGTGGTGGGGTGAGGAGGAAGCTGGAAGAGAATTCTGCAGCCACAAGCCCTCTCCTACAGAGGAATCTGACTGAAGTAGTCAGACAAGTACTGAAGCCCACCATAATCTACCAGGGCAGGCTCTTCCTCTTGAGTAGTTTGATTGTTTTATGTTTAACAGGTTTACTGCTCAGATAGAACCTATTCATTTATTTACTTTGTTTCATCACTAGATTACTTCTGCTGCACATTGCCAAGTCAAGGGCTAGCACAGTAGAAGAAAATCCCTCTAACACAAACAAGCAGATAACAAAAAGAATAGGTTTCGCCTCCAAGAACTGATTTAGGATTTTGCCAGTTTAGATTACCCAAATAAGCAACAATATAAAATTTACTCTACCATTTCTATAGAGCAGCTATACTATAAGCTGCTTCTACAAACTTTAGTAGTTTGGTTCCCTTTAAAAGTCACTGCCTAAAAAAAATAAAAAGTTAAGAGTCTTCATTGATGGTGGCAACATAGCAAATACTTGAGCTGGGATAAATAAGTATTATATAGTGCATAGTAAAAGTCTCAAGTGCTAAATGTGCTTCATCCAGGATACATTATTCTTCCTCATGATGGCCAGACTCTGGTCTCTGGGATTTTGCCTGTGAAAGGAGAAAAGTATAAGTGAAGTGTGTGTCTTTTTAGACACACATTTTCTGCTTCAGACTGTCAAGGGAAGGACAGAGCACCACATACAGTTCAGACTCCTGCTGACACTGAACCAATGATAGAGGTTCCCAATCTGTGCACTGGGACCCCATTTAGGGATGTTAGCAACTAGCTGACTACCCAGGAAGCATGATCTTATCAGGTAGTTGACTGGAGTATTGACTATTTGCTTTGCCTACCCCTCAGAGACCGGGAGGGAGGGGGAAAGGGGGGAGACTGTGCTGGGAGCCAACACCATCTCTGTGGGGGACAGGGGAGGCTGTGTGAAGTAGCCCCTGTCTGAGGGGGCCCCAGTGGGGAGCTGGGCCCCCTCAGACAAGGGCTGCTGTCACCAAGCAGCCCCTGTTCACAGCAGTCAGGGCTGTCTGCTTCAAACAGGCTGCTGGACTCAGTGTGAGCTGGGACTGAGGGGTCCTGGCTTGCACTGGTCTGGGATGCTGCACCTCTGCATTTTAAATGTAGTAAGAGCTTGGCTGTTCTCACTACAGTTAAAATGCGGAGCTGTAGTGCGGGTGGCTCTTGGAGCTGGCAAGAGCCGGCTCGAGCTGGCTCCTGTTCAGTCCCAAGTTGAGCCAGCTCCTGGAGCAGTTCTATTGACTGGTTGAGTGAAAACAAGTGGTATCAACTATATAATTAGCCAGAACTGCAATTGAACATCCTTAACCCCATTTCAGTGGGCACTCCTGGACTGGTGTTGCCCTCAGACTTCAGCTAGTGTTTCAGCTCTGGACAGTGGGTCTCAGGTTACCGATCCCCACTTGGGACTGAAGCCCAGGGGCAGGGGGCTTGAATTTCCTGTATCAAGGTGTCATGAGAAGGGGGTCACAGTGAAATGGTGTTCAAGAACAGCTACAAGAGTATTGGCAAGAGGACAAGAGGCAACCAATGGGAGTACTCCACTGGGGACAGGAACAAGTGTGCAGTTAGGGAATCACTAGCAGCTCCCCATGTTGCATATTAGGGTTCCACAAGGCATCGTGGTTGTGCTAAAAAACCCACAACCTTTAGTCAGCCACTAAGAGGTGGACCACAGGGAAGAGTTCTGAAGCTTACCTTTGTTCTCCGGTTTCTGAAATTGACAGGTACATTTCCCATCCTAGGATTTCGGCTTGCTTCGTTTCTCACACTGCAGAGGAGTGACAAACACCATTAGACAAAGCAGCTCTACAAATTTGGTGCTCGGACATGATCTGGTTTTAGAAAAGAACAGTCCCTCTGATAAATGAACTGGTCAAAAAACCCACCTTCTTCTTTGCCTGCCTCCCAAGCTTAGTCTTGGGATCCAGACCAATGTATTTCAAAGTACCCAAAGGTGAAATAGTGATTTAAATGTGCAATGTCCACAGAATTTTTGGCCATGCATAGTGGAAGCTGAACTAAACAGCAAGGGCAGTTGTTGTTAAAGACAGGAACTATTTAACTATGCATCCCTATGGCTAGAATGCTACTGGAATCAGAAAAGAGTTTCCACAAAAGATTATTAGACTACTTTCCCTGAAAAGGAGTGTTTGTTGAAAAGAGGTACACAAATAGGAGCCATAAACAGTTCCCTTTAAAACCTTTTTTCCTATTAAATTCATTTACAAATAGAAATGGACATCAGCTAGTCAAACTGAGTGCAGCCTATCCCAGCCATAGGCAAAGTGCAGAAGGATCTGTGGTGGGGTGAGGAGGAAGCTGGAAGAGAATTCTGCAGCCACAAGCCCTCTCCTCTGTGGTGGGGTGAGGAGGAAGCTGGAAGAGAATTCTGCAGCCACTAGCCCTCTCCTACTATCCAGTTTTGATGTTTTACATCAGCAGAAACAGGCCCTGTAGTATTTTCACTCCCCATAGTCGGGCTAGATCAGAATTGACTAGTTGTCCATTCATAAGCTTGCACCCCCCAGAAATCCCTTAGCATTAAAAATTCTTTTCACCACCATGCTGAGCAGAGACATTACCTTGGTCGTGGGGGAGACCTCCCTTGGAAAGTCGGCACATAGCTTTCGGAGTGGAAGTTTTGAGGGGGTTGCACAAGTGACATAGGACGACCTCCTCCAGATTCAGAGGTGCCTCTGTTTCTCAGTCTTCCTTCATTACAAGCTAAGTTGCTGGACTTCCCTTGGGTCGGAGCATCATTCACTCTTACCGAACTAAGAGAGGCCAATGGTATGCTTCTGGCAGCTTCCAAGTTATTTAGTGATTGGCTTACTCCTATTTCATGGGTGAATCTCTGCTGCCTGAAGTCTTCTAGGTATCCAGATAAGATTTCACCTAGAAGGCAAGTCAGATAAAATAAAGAATTATAGTACCAGTAATGAAATAATCAAACAGCATGGAATCAGCACAGATCAGAACAAAGAGGAAAAGTGTGATAAAAGCTCTTGGATTTTAAAGCAATCCCATATAGCAGGAAAATTTACTGCACCATAGAAATATTGGCTTTACTGATTAGTACAATTCCCCAAGATAGGAAACCAATTTAAAACAGGTTTGGAGAAAATCCTCTAGTTAGCAGTTCCTTTCAAAAGCGTAACACAGAGCATAGCACAGTAATTATAGTTAGGTCAGTGCTGTAGTACTTTTAAAAACAGATATCTTGTACTATCTTTCTTCAGTGTGGACAAAGTTACACATTTTACCAGCTTCACAAGGATGCTGAACTGCTTTAGAATAAAGTTATGGCCTCAACACTTCCTTTTGGCAATTTAAGACAGTATATAAACTATTGAGTTCCTATACTGGGATTTGTTGCTGTTTTTAAAGTTAGTAAACATTCAGTATCAGCTTTACCTTCTGATGTATATGTTCCACTGTCACTTAAAACTTTCTGCATGAAAGTCAATACATTATTTGAACCTAAGGGTGCAATAAAAACTGATGAGGCAAGACACTTCCTTTTGGCAATTTAAGACAGTATATAAACTATTGAGTTCCTATACTGGGATTTGTTGCTGTTTTTAAAGTTAGTAAACATTCAGTATCAGCTTTACCTTCTGATGTATATGTTCCACTGTCACTTAAAACTTTCTGCATGAAAGTCAATACATTATTTGAACCTAAGGGTGCAATAAAAACTGATGAGGCAAGAAACTCAAAGTTCACCCCAACATTAGTTTCTCTGATTGCAACAGTTATGGATGGTGCTAACACCACACACTGGACTATACAGACTATCAGTAATTGCAAGTTTCTTTGGTTTGTGTGCTGGGCTCCATGATGATCTGGTAGAGATTGCGAGTTCTGCAATGTGAAACAGGACAGTAACATGAAGTTGGTGTTAGGATGTTCTAATCCTTACCTAGACTAGACGTGCATTATTCTTGTTCTGTTTTAGAAGTTGGAGGAAGTGATCTTGAAAAGCATGACTGGAAAAAAGCACAGGCTAGAAGTCTGTACTTTGCCCATACCTTGATGCCTGATGCGTCTTCTAACGTCTGGCGATTCGGATCTCTTCAAGTTGTCTTTGTGTGGCAATGGTTGCCATGATTCCCCTAGGCGGACAGTGGCTGGGCGTAAGTCACACTGGTCCTAATGCAAGAGAAGTTAATTGTTTCTGGACACTTGGAACAATTCCTGTGAAAACTTTGCCAAAGGAAAGCAAGGATTTGTTTTGAGTGAGACTGACTTGACTAAATGCTCACATCTTCATTTTAGATCGTTTGTTCATATCAACTAGAAACTATTTTGGGTTGTACTTGGAGTTGGTCTCAGTCTACTTCCCAGAGGACAAGTCACCACACGATAACTGAGATCATGCTATATGCAGCTCATGTTTAGCCTGTCATTCCTGGAAATGATCCCTTTCAAGTCAGCCAGAAGCACACAAGCAGGCAGTCTGCATTGCTGTTGCAGTGACAATGCAACTGTGAACCCTCATTAGCAATAAAATCAGCAGACCTTTTGAACCTGAATCAATGTAACTTGAAAGGCCAAGTTCCATACCTGCCTCATAGCATTCATGCCACTTGCCCTAAGTTTTACAATCACTTCCCCCCTTAATAGTTTCTCTGCTGCTGTGTGAAAGACCTTCACCAAAAAGGGGACACTGACTGAACCAGGTGCCATCAAATGCACAAACTGAAAATAAAAACAAATTGCCATCTTTCAGTGACATATTATGTATTGCCTATAGCACAAGTAGGGAAGAGGTGAAGATTTTAATTAGAAGAGTGTCCCTTTTAGATTGGATAACCACAGCTAAGATTACTTTAAATTGTACTTGACAGTGGCTCAAGTCCCAGATGGCATCCTTTGGTCAGCTGTTGGAAGGCATTTATCCAAATGCCCTACTTTCAGAAGGCAAACCAACTAGATGTTGAAATCCTCAGCCACCAACTATGATGCAAAAATGCATTGAAACTCCCTCTACTATGGAACAAACGCTATAAAGCAAAGCAGCTAGTTATGGAAGCTTGTCAAAACTTGGTGCCCATTAACTTATTCACCGTTAAGGGGTAAAACAACTTCTGTACGATGGCAATTTTCATCGTACTTGGACACTGCAAAACCATCCCAGTTGGATCTTGGCTCACACCTTTTCCAGTTCATTGGTAATAGAGAAGGGAAGCTATCAAAGGGATCTCTGTTACCTTCTGTCATTAACTATGTGATCAAAGATGATACAGAGATTGCAGGTTTATCTCCTCTTCCACCTCTCATCTTCTCTTACTTGCCCTGTGTTCCTCCTCAGTTTTAAAAGGTTAGGCTATCCCTTCCGCCTGGATCCATCTCACCTACAGGTAACTGTCTACTCAGCCCAATCTTATACCTATCAGGGCCCTCATAGGTCTCCACCCCACAACTCCTGTTCCATGCTTAGTCTTGCCTGTGTTAAACTAAGTGGAGTGGCAACAATTGACCAGGGGAGCAATAATTTGTGACTGCAGGTTTAACAAGACAGCAAACAGTATCTGAATTTGGGTCAGACTCTAGACTCAATGAACTGTGAGTATACCATGTTCCCCTTCAAGAAGTTCTGCTTCTGAGATGACAGTTCACTCACATGCATTAATTCAATGGGTACATGAATAAGAGGCTAAAAAGAAAAGATGAAAGTGTCACATTTAAAATGTTGTGTTCAGGTTTGCAAAGGGCAATAAAGTAGGCTTCTTGTAAATACTTCAGGAGAACGACTAAACACAGATGGTCTGGTCCTCTACAGAATAATTTGCCCTCACTGCTTGGGGATGGAAGGTGGTCATACAGGGAAATGCATCATAGCAAAGCATTGGTAAGATAGCAGTCAGGACTTCCAAAGAGGTGAGAATTGCTGTATTGTTTGAATGCCACTTGCTCAGACTCCATTATTTGATTATTTTCAATGCACAAAAAAACCTGTTCCTTTAACATGAGCCCCAGCATGCTCCAGCATCCTGGGGTACAGACTGCAACCCCTATGTTCAGAGCAGACTATTCAAATTACAAATATGTGAGCTCCTGGTACCTGTGATCCCAATTGCAGGCTCTGAGCTTACCATTATACAAACATTTACTACCAAGTCAGATTTGCTGTGTCTAGTCATCTGTAGGGTGGAATTTGAGGTTTGTACCTGGTGGTGGAAGAGTACTTCCTCTTCTAACTGAACTCCACAGAATTCACATGGAATGATGATACTCCCTTCTGTCTGTACAGCTTTATGCTGCAGAGAATATGTAGATTTGCCGCTGTGCAGTTGGTTTAAGAAATCTTTAGCAGGTCTGTTGCATTCTTGTTGTTGACTTGGTGAGGAACTTCGTTTACTGAATGAAGCAAAGGCACTTGCTGGGTTACAGCCTGTCTGTTATGTGGCCAACATTGGAAAGAAGGTGTTAGCAATATTTGAAGACTTGCTATGTCAGAGCAAAACAGCCACCCTGTTCCCAAATGATACTTTGTATACCCATTGTAGGCTGGGAGGAACCCTTCTGGCAGGCCTACCGGCCTCCACCCATCAACAATTATATTCTACTTCAGATATTAAACAAATTGGAGTGATGCACATAATTTGCTATACATCTTGAAATTCAAACCCTAACATCTGTAGTTATTTCATAATGTATGTTGTTTACTATTGGCATTTCATTTATCACAAAAGTTAAATCCAAGAAACAGACCACAGTGAAAGTTTTGATGTAAGTTTTGTATTAGTAAACTATAAATACTCAAAAATTGCTATTGAATACTGATCTTTGCAAGAGTCTATGAAGATACAGTGTCCTATAAGCACTGTTGCAGTATGTTCCTACCATCACACTGTGCCAAATTGCTCCAACAAAATTCAGTTTCTAAATGAAAATTGTACTAACAAGTGGTAGCATCCATTTCAGTAAGCCTCCCACATATACATCTATAAAATGGAGATAGCACTTACTTTGTAAAGTGCTTTTAGACTGACAAAAAAAAAAAGCACTTTAATAGCTAAGTATTATTGTCACAGAAATACCAAACCTCATGGAGAATCAGGTCTTCTTCAGGGTAGAGGGCCTCACAAAATTCACATGGTAACATGATCTCATCATCTGCGAGGTAAGTAAAAGGATTCAATTCCCTCCTATAAAATAGGTCCATCGGACTAACCAACCTGTCTTCAGAATTTCTAACCCATAAAATCATTCTATTCTACACCACAGCAAGGCTCAAGGCAGCAATCATTCTGCTTTTACATTTGAAAAATGGTTCCTCTTTGAAAAGGGTTGTGTTTTGTTTTTGGACCCACTGTTTCTTGTTCTAAACACACAAGTCTCATTGTCTGTTTAGGCATGTAACAGCAAACAAAATTATTAAAGTAATCTGGCACATCAATACTGTATTATCCCTTATTAGCATATTTAAGCATGAAGTGTGACATTACCTACTCAGCTGTTACTATATCAGCACAAGTAGACAAGCCCTTTTTTCTGAAGACATGGCTGAACTACATCAAGTTGAATCTTCTAGTAGTGTTTCTCAACCAGTGGTATGAGTACCCTTGGGGTACTTGGGAGAAGTCTGGGTGGGTACGTCAACATAACTGAAATGTGGAGAAAACTGAATTTGTTTTAAGTTTTACAGAACTTTATTTTTGTACTTTACACCTAAAAATTTCATTGCCTGCCCAGCTACAAGTAAGTTATTTAAACAAACTGTTGCAATGGGAGGGGGAAAAAAGTGTATCTGAAAACTGTAGATCCTGGGGGTACTTAATTTTCATTTTTTTTTTTTTTTTTAAAGGGGGTACTTTATAAGAAGGCTGAGAAACACTGTTCTAGTACAGTTTTGGAAACTAGTCACTTACCCTTTCCATGTTAAGATGCTCTATTCATCCCACCACAAGTATTTTAAAGGAAAAGGAATTTCAGGATAGGTTCCAATATCAAGATCTCACTAGTCAAAACAAATCTTGGGACTACGTATATACACAATATTGCTATTTTTGCAGTTAGTACTGTTGAAAATTTAGTGTGCTGAAGAGTCAAAAAGGGAAGAAAGGCTCCAAATATAGAGAAGGCTTTTCTGCACATTAACATTTCCTGTATGTGATGTAGAAATTTCTAAAGCAATTTAAAAAGATACTGAAATACTCCTCTTCTGGTACTGAAATAAAAGTTAGGGAGGTAACTGTGTAATCGATTAACCAATAAGCAAAAATGTATAGATTAATGCTGCAGACTGCATGCATTCCCCTGCCAGTAAATTTTTATTTTGGTTCTGGACATCCAATACTCCAGTCATCTGAAGAAGTGGGTCATGCCCACAAAAGCTCATGATCCCATCTACATGTTTTGTTAGTCTGTAGCAGGAAAAACAAAAAGCAACAGATAGCACTTTAAAGTGCTACCAGACTAACTTGGCTGCCCCCTATTAAATTTTTCAGCAGGCTGACCAGTCTCAGTCCCAGTTTGCACTGGGTCCAGGACCTATCCCCGCTGCAGCTCTCCATTTAAGTGTATTAGTAGCCAGGTGGGCAGGCACCTTGGCTCAGTTCTGTCTCACACCAGGTCTGGGAGCTCAGGTCCCCTTGGACAGGGGCAGCAGGCAACCTGTCTGCAAGGGAAGCACTTTTTTGGGGGGGTAAAACTTGCTCCTCTTGTGGGCCAGCTCCCACCTGGCTCCCCACAACACTGCCTCCAATACAGAAGCAGCAGCACAGGGGGGCAGAGGGTTCCTTGGGAGTAAGGCTGGAGTGCACTGGCTGCCAGTCCCACCCCCAGGGACTATAAAATAATTGAATAACCTTTAAGAATTCATGGGTTAATCAGCTATTCAATTAACAAATATTTAACATCCCTGATAAAAATATCACCAAGGAGCCAGTCAGAATTCCCTGATCATCAATATCAATTTTTTCCAGAAAACACTTTTTGAAACTTACTTTTTAGCTGATTTGAAGTGTTAGACAAAGGGACAGGAGAGAAAGTATCTGATTTGTTTGTTCCACTGAGATACTCAGATGACTCTGATTCTTTAGCATAGTTGTTCCAGAAATCATGGTGAATTTCAGCTGCAATACTGTTGCAGGGATTATTCTCACGTTGCAGTCGAAGGGCTAACATATAGTCTAAGTCAGAATTTAGCTCTCCATAAAGAGAGGATGCTGTGTTTTTATTCCTCTCCAGCAGGTCCAGTTCATGCCCTGAAGCCAAGAAAGATCAGAAGCTGTAAGTACCAACTGTTAAATTTGTAACAGTAATTAACATTTTAAGAACAGACTAAGTAACAGAAGTTCACCCACGCAAATGAAAGCGGAACAGGGCCCCCCAAACACAGCACTCTTGTTTTAAGAGATAATCAAAGCCTTAGGAAGACACTTCATGACTTATCTTCCCTTAATCATTTCAAAAGATAATCCTTGCCCTTTCCTGCATTTACCCCCTCTGCTTATCCTGAGAGACATGGAACCACCACCCCCTCCCCCCACACCTCTTTACTGGCTATACAATTCTTAAATTTAAAGACTAGAGGACATGTTTTTCCATTCCTTGTAATATTTAAATCACAAGTGAACTAAAATCATCTTTAGTTCAACCACAAGTTAAAACTTGATACAGGAACTACTGGAAGAAGTTGACATGTGTGATGGAGGTCACAATAGTTGAGCCTGGGTCCTTCTAGTCCTAAAGATCTATGAACTAGGGATGTAAGAGACTGACTGAGTCTTACCAGTTCAGGTTAAGCTGTAGAGGCTAATGCAGCTCTCTACCCACCCTGGGAGCTGCTGGAGTAGCCCCTGTCCATGGTGAGCCCAGCCACTCCCCACCCTTCAGTGCAGGTTATATGCTGGCTACCAGCCCCACTTCTGGGGAGCAAGCTGCAGAGACCAAAGCAAAGCCTCCCTGGGATTGTCTACACTACATTTTTTTCCTGCTTTTTTGAGAAGAGGCTCTTCTGACATTTGGCCCATCTACACTGGGCCAAGTGTTGGAAAAAAACCTTTTCAGAACATCCCTTCCTTGTAAAATGAGGTTTACAGGGATGCCAAAGAAAGCGTGTCTGCTCTTCTAAATAAATTTTGGGAGAGACATTCCCTGGATGTCCAAAGATATCCTGGAAAAAAACTCTGCAGTGTAGACAGCCTGGGAAAGGCAGCCAGCCCCACTCCAGGTTCTGAAGTATAGGTCTTAAATAAGCTTTACACTTCAGAGCCCACAATGCATGTAACTACTATGCTTTTTAGTAGTTACATTAACCACCTTTTTACATCCCTGCTATGAAGGTATAACAGACCTTTGTTTTCAGTCACTCACAAGAAGCAATAGGTTTAAACTGCAGAAAGGAAGGTTTAGGCTGGATATTAAGGGGGGGGGAACCTTCCCAACTGTCAGGGTGGTTAGCTACTGGAATAAATTGCCTAGGGAGACTGAAAACTCTGTCACTGGAAATACTTAGCAACAGGTTGGCTAGGCATCAGGGATGATCTAAATCAGTGGTTCCCCACCTGTGTTCTGCATCAGTACTGCAGGGGATCCATGGAAAGTTTAAAAATAAGGATTGGGCCCACCGTGGTAGGCCTGATCCTTGCTTTTCTCCTCCTCTATGAAATTGATTGTAAAGGGATCTGTATCCTGAAGGAGGTTGGGAACCACTGAGCTAGACAATGCTGGTGGCTGCTGTGAGGGCAAGGAACTGGACACTAACCTGGAGGTCCCTTTCAGTTCTAGAATTCCATGAGTTCATTTACATACTAATGCAAGCATTTGACTCAGATACAGGTTAATGGGATTATAGCCATACAAAGTGACGCCTCTAAAGTGTTCCAGGAAGAGGGGTTCATATTCTAAATGTTGGCAATTACATTTACATGCACCAAGATCTGCACTTGGATTTCAGAACCCTACTGATTTTACTGTGCTAACAGTCTGTTTTGAAAGTCAGTAGAGTAATTTGTTCAGTTTAACACCTGGCTAAATGTATCTGTAGCCGTTTTGTAATTCCACAGTATTTTTAGGGAAACCATATGGAAGCCTAAGGAAGCTTTTCTAAATCCCAGAGAATGAGACATCTCATTCTGTGATTCACTTTTAAAATAAAGTTGGTAAGAAGTGAGGTGTTTGATATAACACATGGCTGAATTACAGCATTAAACTGCGTATTTCTTTATGCTAAAGTATTATCTTAGTTTCTCATTAAATTAAGACATATGTTCATTAAGATCAGGATTTTACTTTCAATGTTCTTTAGCAACACCTTCGTGTTGGACTACCTATGGTGACCATATTTTCTGAACCAAAATTAGTGACGTTAGCCATTCCCACAACCCATTAGCCATGCCCCTGCCACAATAAATCCCACCCCAGACAGCACTCCAGGGGTCAAGATGGACACATGACCGGAAGTAAAGGGTGTCATGTGACCCTTTAAAAATGCCTCCCACCATTCTCTACCAATAGGGATGGACTAAAACAACAAAAGGTCTGGTAGCACCTCATAGAATAACAAAACATATAGATGGTAATATTAGCTTTCATGGGCACAGCCCACTTCTTCAGATGACTGGAGTTTGAAGAAGTGGGCTGTGTCCACAAAAGCTCATGATACCATGTACATGTTTTGTTGGTCTGGTAGCACTTTACAGACATTTGGTTTTTTAGGTTTATCCTGTACAGACTAGCTTGGCTATCCTCCAAGCTTCCAATAGGGATGGGTTTGGCTCCCACAAAATTAGCCTGCAGTTACATTAACTCCAGGGGAGAAGCTGGGGAAAGTGTTCCTTCGAAGATTTTTCCAATCATGAGCAGAGTGAGTTGTGTCTTGTGCACCAGCATTGAGTTACAGAATCATAGAATACTAGGACTGGAAGGGACCTCAAGAGGTCATCGAGTCCAGTCCCATGCCCTCACGGCAGTCATCGAGTCCAGTCCCCTCCCCTCATGGCAGGACCAAATACTGTCTAGACCATCCCTGATAGACATTTATCTAACTACTCTTAAATATCTCCAGAGATGGGGATTCCACAACCTCCCTGGGCAATTTATTCCAGTGTTTGACTACCCTGACAGTTAGGAACTTTTTCCTAATGTCCAACCTAAACCTCCCTTGCTGCAGTTTAAGCCCATTGCTTCTTGTTCTATTCTCAGAAGCCAAGATGAACAAGTTTTCTCCTTCCTCCTTATAACACCCCTTTTAGATACCTGAAAACAGCTGTCATGTCCCCCCTCAGTCTTTTCTAAACTAAACAAACCCAATTCTTTCAGCCTTCCTTCATAGGTCATGTTCTCTAGACCTTTAATCATTTTTGTTGCTCTTCTCTGGACCCTCTCCAATTTCTCCACATCTTCCTTGAAATGCAGTACTCAGAACTGGACACAATACTCCAACTGAGGCCTAACCAGCACAGAGTAGAGCGGAAGAATGATTTCTCCTGTCTTGCTCACAACACACCTGTTAATGCATCCCAGAATCATGTTTGCTTTTTTTGCAAAATTGTGATGCTGTAGCCTCATTCAGCTTGTAGTCCACTATAATCCGTAGATCCCTTTCTGTCGTACTCCTTTCTAGACAGTTGCTTCCCATTCATGTGCTCTTGTCCGGATGTGTGCCACTGTGGCACCCAAGTTGATAAGTATCTTATAAGCCGCTACCTGGCTGTAATGAACATTCAGGAAGCAAAATCTACCCAAGTGGTGGGTGATGTGAAAAAGCACCAGGCTGAGGGTAACTGCATTTCCCTATGTTGGATACTGGACACCCGGTAAAACGACTCATATTCAAGCGAGTTCAGCAGCAATACATTAGAACTGAGCAGCACAAAGGTTCAAATTAACATCAAATCCCTGTTAAGCATAATGATTGTATAGCTGGAGACTTCTTATCTTTAGGGTTCAAAAGAGTGAGGGGGACACCCCCCTACACCTCTTTCACATGCTTGGGTGTCTGGCAAAGCTGACAAGGGATGTTAAATATTGGTTAATTGAATAGTTCTGTAACCTCAAAAATGTGTATCTGTTACTCAACTATTCAATTGTAGTCCCTGGGGGTGGGACCAGCAGCTAGTGTGCTCCAGCCTCACTCCTGAGGAGTCCCCTACCACTCCACACTGCTGCCTCTATCAGAAGCAGCAGGATACGAGGCAGGAGCTTGTCTGCAAGGGGAACCAGTTTAAAAACCAGTTCCCCCTGCGGACAGCAGCATGGGGTGGCAGCAGCACCTGTCGGGGGGAGGAGAGGGGGTTCTGAGCTCCCAGACCTGGCACAAGACAGAACTGAGCCAGGCTGTCTGCTCACCTGACTCCTAATACACTTTAAATGCATGGGTAGGGATGTAATAGTGAGTCAATTAACCAATAAGCAGGGGTAGGTCCCACACCTGTTAAGAGCCAGGACTGAGCTGGACTGCTGGCCAGCCTGCTAAAAAAGTGAACTGGAAAGTAGGGGCAATGTGTGTCTTCTATAGCATTACTGACAAGCTTTTGCTTATTGGTTAATTGACTATACTATTACATCCCTACCCACCTGCCCCGCCTCTCCTCTGCCCTCTGTTGCCTGTCCCTCTCCTCCGTGTGTCTGCCCTTCTGCTTCACCCCCACAACCTCCTAGCACCTGCACCTTCCCGTACTCCCTCCACCTTCCTGGTGCCTCCCCTTCCCCCGCTGCCTCCGACCCCCAGCCCTCAGTTCTCCCTTTACCCCTTCCCTCACCTTCTGCCTTCCACATGGAAAGCAGTTTGTGGACTGGAGCCAGCGTCAGTGCTATTTATTATTTTTAGTACTGCAGTCCTGGCCATAAGTGCTCCCACAGCCCTGGCCCCAGCTGCTCCTGGGGTGGGACTGGAGCTGAGGCACCCATGGTGGTGTTCGTACCATGGTCTCAGTCCATGCAGGCAGCCCCAGCTAAAGCTGGAGTCAAGCAGCAGCCATGAGGCCAGTTGTGTTCCAGCTGGGGCAGCGTGACTTTCTTGTGCAGCTGCTCCTTGGCTGTAGCTAGGGCTGCCCTTAGGGACTAGGGTATTAAAAATAGTATTGCAGGTGGCCAGCCCTGGCTCCAGCCGGAGTGTACACACACACACACACACACACCCCCCCGCAGCTGCCTGGAGATGGAGGTGACAGCAGCAGTATGGCCAGATTAGGCCACATGTGGCAGAGGCACCCTGGGGCAGGTGACAGTGTGCACTGTACAGAAGCTTGGGAACTGTCCC